GGGGTCCCCGCCGCCCTGGGGACCCTGAGCCCCGAGGGGGGAGCCTGACCCCCTGGGGAGGCCGATTCCCTTGGAGGGGTCTCTGCTGCCGTAGGGGGCCAAGATTCCCCTGGGGGGTCCCCTCTGCCTTGGGGACCCCCATCCCCCGGGGTGACCCTGAACCCCTGGGAGGGCCACACTGCCTCGGGGGGGCCTGAGCCCCTGGGGGTAACTGCCCTGGCAGGGCCTGATCCCTTGAGGGGGCCTTGCTGCTGTGGCGGCCCTGACCCCCTGGGCCTGGCTCTGCGCTCCCCCCAGGCGTGACAGGGAGGTGTCTCTGGTGACAGAGCCCGGGGCCAGGCCGGCCTGTGGGCACCGTAAGGGCAGGCCGTGCCCCTGCCTCCCCCAGGCTCTGCGGGTCAGAGCGGGCTCTGGTTTCAGCGTTGGGCAGCTGTCTGGCGTGGCAGCTCAGCCGGGCGCTGAAAACGGGGCAGCGTTACGGCAGACGGGGGCTCCGTGGCATCAGGATTATATTCCCAACCCTGAGAGGTCCCAGGGCATCTTTGTGGCAGGATTCGCTGCGATGTGGCTGGGCACCGAGCACCGTGGCTGCACTTCGGCAGCGCTGCCTACACGTAAACCCAGGCCTCGCTCGGTGTGGCTCCCTGCCAGCAGATTGCTGGCGTCCCGTGAGACTTCTCTGTGTCCGCAGAGCTGCTTGCAGGCCAGGGACCGCCATGTGCAAAGTGTTCTTGGAAAGACAGCTCAGCCTAAGAGTAAAAAACCAGTTCTGTCCGTGGTAATTAGTCGTAGCTTTGCACCTCAACGGTGTCTTGTACCCGAGGTCTTGAACGCGTGATGGCCATTGATCGCTTGAGCCGTGCGATACCCTCCTGAGCTGGCTGGCATTGCTGCAGCTTCTCATATGCACAGTGGAGGAAACTGAGGCAGCAGCAGGAGAGAGTGACCTGTGAAAGGTCCCTGAGGCTGTTAGCGGCCCCGTTAGGAACAGATCCAGGTAACCTCTTCCTCCCCCACGGTCCCCAGGTGTCCAGGTTTTCAGGCCTGGGGCTTGGTTTCCCCCCCCCCCAGGGAATCAGCATCTCTCCTTGCCCCACAAAGCCAGATGGATTTCCCCCTCCTGAACACGTCTAGAGGGCTGCCTCATTTCTTGGGGTTTTGCTGCTTTTATACTGGCAGCAAAGCTTGGGGGAATTCCAGCAAAGCCGGGAGCATCTTTCACTAAGCCACCAGCCCCGTGTCCTGCGGGAGCTGCTGCTTTTTCCCCAGGGGTGTCTCAGTGAGTCCTGCTAGCTCCAGCCCTGCTTCATGTGGGAAAGCTGATCAAATCCCAACCCTGGGCGCCGCACCGCCGAGAAGGGGCCCTGCCCCACACCAGTGCTCGGGGGTGACACGCAGCTGTTGGAGCAGCTTCATCGTACGGTCACCGTGAGAACGTGCGATGTTTAACATGCATGCAAAAGCCAAAGTAAGGACAAAGGGGAGAATAAAAACTCTCTGTTCACCCCAAAGTCCAGGGAAAGGCCTGACGCAGCACTGTGATACCCTGGTCTGTGTTACTGGAGTAAAGCCATGCTAAAGCTCAGCTTTAGTAACTCAGCAGGTACCAGTGCCTTGGAGCCGGTCGAAGGGCTGATCCGGCACTGCAGTGAACCTGCTAAGCCCCGCCGGCAGCAGCCCTGCAGGGGGGTCCCCACGGCTGGCGGGGGGCTGGCAGTCAAACCCCGTGCTGCCCGTTGTCTGCAGACCTCAGGGTGGGAAACAGCCAGAGGGACTCGCACTTGTAACCCGCACACCCGCCCGTGAGGTCTCGTGGGGTCCTGTGCTGGGGCTGGCAGCGAGGGACACGCGGGGCCAGCAGGGTCCTGGCACATCGGTGTGTGACAGCGGTGCTTCAGCTGCTTGGCTTTCCCATGCAGGGCTCCTGCCCTCGATTAATGTGCTCTGGGCACACACCTGCACCCCGGGCTGCCCCGCGGGCCCGTCTGCCAGGCTGGCCGCCAGCCAGCCCCCGTTTTGGTTGCTCCATTTCACTTGAGCAGAGGTGCCAAGAAGCCACCTGAAGAAAAGCCCAGCAAAACAAAAAAGTCCCCGTTCCCGTGCTGTACCCATTCCCATGCCGTGGTGCCTGCACAGCATTGCCCGGTGTGAACAGCAGCGAGACGGAGACAGCGCTGCCCGGGCTCAGCTGGCTCTTAACGAGACCAGTTTTAATTGCATGTGTGGCCTTGAGAACCAGGGAGACCACTCCAGGTACTGAAATCTATCTAATTTGATTGCTCAAGGAAGACAAGCCTACGGCTGCTAACAGCACTCGGGGGACAGGCTGGAGTTCACTCCACGGCTGCGCTTTTGCCTTGCAAGCAGGCAGCCCTGAAATGGGCCGATCCTTTTTGCTAATGAAGTGGACATTTCCTGGTCTGACCTTTGGAGCCTCTGAGACACTGGTCAAAACTCCCAACAGCAAATAAAATATTTACTATTCCCAAATGGGTCCAGACCTGAGCTTCAGCCTTAAAACAGCAGAAGCCAGAGAGCAGCGGAACACCAAGTGAGGACTAACGCTGCAAGGCATGGCACTAAGTTTGTAAGACCACCGCTGGCAGCATAGGACCTGACCTCCAGCCTTCAGAAGGACAATTTGAGGTAATCAGCATCCCCTCTGAGCTCGGATGCTCAAAGCCTGGGTGCATAGGCCAGGGAATGGCTGAGGGTCCCCTGCTGTCTGCCCGGCACTGCATGCATGGGAGCTGCGGACATCCCGGGGCTGCACCAAGAGCCGCTCTGACCGAGAAGCAAAGCGTCCATAAATAAATATGTGGCCAGAGCAGAGGGCTGGGCTGCAGCCATCAAATTACAGCCTCAGGCCTCAGCCTTATTAACATGGAGATCCCTCTGCACCGCGCTGGGAAATAGCCAATGATCTCTTTGCACCCCTGGAGTGGTGTTTTTCTTGCTTTCTTCTGCAGGTTGACTTTTCTTGCTCCCTCTGCAGGAATGAGGAATGGGCAGCGCCCATCCTGCCAGGACGCAGGCGATGCCCTGCACCCACTGATGTGCTCTGGGTCACTGCAGGCCACCCCCAGCCCAAACCCTGCCTTCGTCTGTTTTGGGTGCTGGTGCTAATGCAGTAACAGGCTTAGCTACAGCCCTTTATGAGCTTCCATCTCAGTGGCAGTGGGAGTAAATATTTTTATGGTGGTGTTTGCAGAGGCTCTGTGGGGCTGGAGGGGCCTGGAGGTGCTGATCTTGGGGCTGGGGAGGGAACGGCCATGCCCGGGCAGACGATGGGCAGCCAGAGCAAGACCTGCAGCGGGCCCTGGGAGAGGCAGGAGGTCAGAGCTCC